CAAATGAACTTACTTCATCGCAGGGATCTCCCGTTCTGCTCGCTGCATTCCGCCACCATATATGGGAACTCGCTTCAAATGTAGAGCTTTTGTAACGCACACAGCAACTCGCTTGTTTTTTTAAAGGCCGTTTCAGCCCACTTTTATTTAAATGAAAGTTCAATAAAGCTTCCCAAGCAGGGGTATCCACCATCAAACACATGCAAATGAAAGTTCAGCCTCCTGGCTTGTACCCAGTTTGATGTCTGTCTCCTGCAGACTCTTCTCAAATTATAGCTCTCGCACACAGCTTTCCACTAGCACACAGCTAGTCTGGCTTCCACCTCTCCTTGGTGGAGCCCTCCTGACTCCTGTCTTCCCAGTGGAGCCCTCCTGACTCCGCCTGCCGGGTGGGAGCCCTCCTGATTCCTTCTGCGGGGGTGGAGCCCAGAACCATGGGTTAGGCCTCTACAAAAAGCCCTGCACCCACCTGTACAATCAGTGTCCTGGCCATTACCAAAACCTGGTCTCAGGATTGGAGATTTCATCCCTCCCAGATCTCTTTGAAATCTCCAGGCTCCAGATCCCAAAACAGACTTAATGAAAAAATGAGGAAACCGAAAAGCCAGTTTCCTCTGCAATACATCAACCCTCTGGAGCCCCGCCCCTCAACCTGCCTGGTTGAAAATCCAGGGTTTTCAGCTTGATTTTGACCGTGACAGGACGCCGCACTGCCACAGTATATATATATATATATATATATACAGTCATGGCCGAAATTGTTGGCACCCTTGATATTTTCCTGAAAATCAAGTATTTCACACAAAAAAGGTATTGCATTAACACATGTTTTGCTATACACATGTTTATTTCCCTTTGTATGTATTGGAACAAATATAAAACAGAGGCAGAAAAGCTTGACATAATGTCACACAAAACCCCAAAAATGGGCTGGGACAAAAGTGGCACCCTTAACTTAATATTTGGTTGCACACCCTTTGGAAAACATAACTGAAATCAGTCGCTTCCTATAACCATCAATAAGCTTCTGACACCTCTCAATCCCGGAATTTTGGACCACTCTTCCTTTGCAAACAGCTCCAGGTCTCTCTTATTGGAAGGACAAAACCTTTTCCCAACAGCAATTTTAAGATCTCTCCACAGGTGTTCAATGGGATTTCCAGATCTGGGCTCATTGCTGGCCACTTCAGAACTCTCCAGCGCTCTTTGCCATCCATTTCTGAGTGCTTTTTGACGTATGTTTGGGGTCATTGTCCTGCTGGAAGACCCAGGACTTGGACGCAAACCCAGCTTTCTGACACTGGGCCCTACAGTGCGACCCCTTTGGTAATCCTCAGATTTCATGATGCCTTGCACACAGTCAAGGCACCCAGTGGAGGCAGCAAAACAACCAAAAACATCATTGAACCTCCACCATATTTTACCGTAGGTACTGTGTTTTGTTCTTTGTAGGCCTCATTCCGTTTTCGGTAAACAGTAGAATGATGTGCTTTACCGAAAAGCTCTATCTTGGTCTCATCTGTCCACAAGACGTTTTCCAGAAGGCTTTTGGCTTACTCAAGTACATTTTGGCAAACTGTAGTCTTGCTTTTTTAATGTCTCTGTGTCAGCAGTGGGGTCCTCCCTGGGTCTCCTGCCATAGCGTTTCATTTCATTTAAATGTCGACGGATAGTTCCGCGCTGACATTGATGCTCCCTGAGCCTGCAGGACAGCTTGATTGTCTTTGGAACATGTTTGGGGCTGCTTATCCACCATCCCGTTGCAGATCTCTTCATCAATTTTCCTCTCCGTCCACGACCAGGGAGATTAGCTACAGTGCCATGGGTTGCAAACTTCTTGATAATGTTGCGCAGCACTGTGGACAAAGGCAAATCTAGTTCTGGAGATGGACTTGTAACCTTGAGATTGTTGATATTTTGCCCAATTTTGGTTCTCAGGTCCTCAGACAGTTCCGTCTCCTCTTTCTGTTGTCCATGCTTAGTGTGGCACAGACAGACCACAATGCAAAGGTTAAGTGAACGACTCTCCTTTTTATCTGCTTTCAGGTGTGATTTCTATATTGCCCACACCTGTTACTTGCCCCAGGTGAGTTTACAGGAGCATCACATGCTTGTAACATTCTTATTTTTCCGCAGTTGTTTTGACCGGGTGACAGGACCCGCTTTTGTCCAGCCCATTTTTGGAGGTTTGTGTGACATTATGTCGAATTTGCTTTCTTTCCTCCCTTTTTTTGTTTTATATATACACAAAGGGAATAAACATGTGTATAGCAAAACACACAATACTTTCGGCCACCTTTATCAAGGGTGCCAACAATTTCGGCCATGACTGTATATATATATATATATATACACACACACACACTTACTGGCCACTTTACACCTGTTCAATTGCTTGGTAATGCAAATTGCTAATCATAATCACATGACTGCATCTCAATGCATTTAGGCATCTAGACCTGGTGAAGACGACTTGCTGAAGTTCAAACCAAGCATCAGAATGGGGAAGAAAGGGGATTTAAGTGATTTGAATGTGCCATGGTTGTTGTTGCGATAGAGGCTGGTCTGAGTATTTGAGAAACTGCTGCTCTACTGGGATTTTCATGCACAGCCATCTCTAGGGTTTACAGAGAGTGGTCCAAAAAGAGAAAATATCCAGTGATCTGCAGTTGTGTGGACGAAAATGCCATGTTGATGTCAGATGTCAGAGGAGAATGAGCAGACTGGTTCGAGATGATAGAAAGGCAACAGTAACTCATGTCAATGACCAAAGTCTCTGAGGAATGTTTCAAACGCCTTGTTGAATCTATGTCATAAAGAATTAAGGCAGTTCTGAAGGGAAAATGGGGTTCAACACGGTACTAGCAAGGTGTACCTTTTAAAGTGGCCAGTGAGTATATGCATATTATAATATGGGAAATTTGCATAAAAAATTACTGTATGTACATATGCGCATAGACTAATCCAGTGAGTAAAGTGAAGTAACACCCCAACAGGTCAGAAATATGTTGCAAGTAAATAACAATTTTTTTTTAGACTTTGTAAGTTCCAAATGTGATCCTTTTTAACACCTGTATCAGAAGTGGTATAACACAATAGTATTTGTAATGTTAAAGGAGAAGTATAACCAAAGCTTTTTTTGGCTATACTTTTCCTATTGACCATAGGAGTGAAGTTAGTTCTTCTAGTGCACTCCTGATCACAGCTGACAGCGGGCTGAAGCCTGCTGTTGGCTGACATCACAGAGTCGGTCCAGGCTCTGAAGAGATCCTGGAAATAATAAACAGAGGGCACACCGACCTGGTGCATTACCAAAATAACAATATATTTAGAAATATAAAAGATATTCTACTCACAAACGTATAACAAGCATTGGCATATAAAAGGATGCAGACGAGACCGCCCCCGGGTCCACGGTGCTTAGCCAGTTTTGTGGGAAGCCCTTGTAGCATCCAAAGGCTTACGTGTTTTGAAGCTTGAGCCCTCTTCTTCAGAGCTAAAGAGAGTATGAATGGTTTTACACTGACCTTTATATTTTAATGAGCTATTAGCCCTAGTGTCCAATATCCTCCTATATAAATAAATAATTTCTAAATAAATTGTTATTTTGGTAATGCACTAGGTTGGTGCACCCTCGGTTTATTGTTGTTTCCAGTTTTTGCTAAGATGCCCACAGTCCTACAAGGGCAGCAAGATCTCTGGGACCATACCTTCTAGCTGGGCAAGCAAGCGTTATATGTCCTTAGCAGCACACCTAAGCGCCACAGATTATCAGTACTTTTTCTACATCTGAAGAGATCCTGTCCATATGGTTGGGATCCAACCAGAACCGTGAACCGGTAACTGGCTTAGCCTCTCAGCGATCAGCCAAAAGCCTGAGCCAGCCCCTCCCGCCCCCTCCACAGTCCATTGCTCCAGTGAGTGCTGAAGGGACAGAGTAGATAGCCGGAGACTGACAGTCTCAGCTCTCTGCTCAGAGCAGAGGGGGAGAACTAAACAATTGTGGTCTCCTGTGCAGAGGTGGGGGGGACAGATGCAACATCGAATCTATGCTGCATCCACCTAGGTGCACGACAGCTAGTACAATCTTTTCCCTTCTGCAATGCAAAGCATTGTATAGCTGCCTTTGCAGCTTAAGGAGGATTGGTTGGGACACAGTTTTTATAGCACCCCAACCACTAGTGTAAACTAAACCTAAAGATCCCAAAGGTGATCGATCCTGTTGAGGATGAGAAATGATATTTTAAACACTGCAGGTCTGAAAGATGATCCTGTATAAGGTTATAGATGTGAATCTCAGTCTTGATTTTTAGTTTCTTAGAACAGGTATCCAAGGAGAAATCCATATAACAACATGTTTAAATTCCAGTGAATAGGTACCAGTTGTAAAAATTTGCAATTACATGTATATGCACCTATATTACAATATTATTAGGTACTAAAGTTTTTATTATTGACTTCATTATCATTTGTAAGTTGATAGCTGTTGCCCTCAGCAGTCCTAATGCAGATTTCTTCTGCTTATTTCAGGCCGCTGATTCATTCAGGTTTGACATGCCTGAGCAATCCTGCTTTTATGTAGTGCAGTGTTTACATGCATAAGCCTCCTAATAAAAGCAACACTATTGAATGGTGGACTGGCGCCTCACCAGTCAGAAAGCCTTTTACACCATTATGCAGTATAAATTAGTCATCCAAACAGGCAGATCAATACTACTGCAGTCAACTTGCTTTGTAGTAACTGCAAAATATGCAGAGTTGAAAATGATGCTATCACTGTACTTCTAAATGAAAATATTATAAAAAATAGTGCTATGTTTTGGCCGTTTTCTGTTGCTAAACTATTGTATCCATAGTCAAAAAGTATTCTGAATGTAGCATGCATGATGCACAACAGAACTGTATATTGATTATCTTTGCATGTCCTAAGGGAAATGCTATGTGTAAACTACATATAGCAAAAGGTGCATCACTTTGTTTCTGCCTATATTGTTTTACAGATATGCTAACAGTAGCCTGACATAAAGTATATGGAGAAGCACAAGGTCAAACCTGACAGTAAGGTTTTTCTTTTGGTAAGTGAATGATGCAGAAGAAAAAAACTCAGGTGTTATTGGTATAAAATTGTACCCCATATACGCTTATTTAGTAAAGCAGGAGTGGAAGAAGATATGATTTTCAATGCCCAGTAAACTACAGGGCATTCATAAAATATTCAGACCCCTTCACTTTTTAAAATTTTGATATATTGTAGCCTGATTCTACAGTTCTTACATAGTTGAAAAAAGACACAAGTCAATCTACAGTCAGGTCCATAAATATTTGGACATCGACACAATTCTAACATTTTTGGCTCTATGCACCACCACAATGGATTTGAAATGAAACGAACAAGATGTGCTTTAACTGCAGACTGTCAGCTTTAATTTGAGGGTATTTACATCCAAATCAGGTGAACGGTGTAGGAATTACAACAGTTTGCATATGTGCCTCCCACTTGTTAAGGGACCAAAAGTAATGGGACAATTGGCTTTTCAGCTGTTCTATGGCCAGATGTGTGTTATTCCCTCATTATCCCAATTACAATGAGCAGATAAAAGGTCCAGAGTTCATTTCAAGTGTGCTATTTGCATTTGGAATCTGTTGCTGTCAACTCTCAAGATGAGATCCAAAGAGCTGTCACTATCAGTGAAGCAAGCCATCATTAGGCTGAAAAAACAAAACAAACCCATCAGAGAGATAGCAAAAACATTAGGCGTGGCCAAAACAACTGTTTGGAACATTCTTAAAAAGAAGGAACGCGGCGGTGAGCTCAGCAACACCAAAAGACCCGGAAGACCACGGAAAACAACTGTGGTGGATGACCAAAGAATTCTTTCCCTGGTGAAGAAAACACCCTTCACAACAGTTGGCCAGATCAAGAACACTCTCCAGGAGGTAGGTGTATGTGTGTCAAAGTCAACAATCAAGAGAAGACTTCACCAGAGTGAATACAGAGGGTTCACCACAAGATGTAAACCACTGGTGAGCCTCAAAAACAGGAAGGCCAGATTAGAGTTTGCCAAACGACATCTAAAAAAGCCTTCACAGTTCTGGAACAACATCCTATGGACAGATGAGACCAAGATCAACTTGTACCAGAGTGATGGGAAGAGAAGAGTATGGAGAAGGAAAGGAACTGCTCATGATTCTAAACATACCACCTCATCAGTGAAGCGTGGTGGTAGTGTCATGGCGTGGGCATGTATGGCTGCCAATGGAACTGGTTCTCTTGTATTTATTGATGATGTGACTGCTGACAAAAGCAGCAGGATTAATTCTGAAGTGTTTCGGGCAATATTATCTGCTCATGTTCAGCCAAATGCTTCAGAACTCATTGGATGTCGCTTCACAGTGCAGATGGATAATGACCCAAAGCATACTGCAAAAGCAACCAAAGAGTTTTTTAAGGGAAAGAAGTGGAATGTTATGCAATGGCCAAGTCAATCACCTGACCTGAATCTGATTGAGCATGCATTTCACTTGCTGAAGACAAAACTGAAGGGAAAATGCCCCAAGAACAAGCAGGAACTGAAGACAGTTGCAGTAGAGGCCTGACAGAACATCACCAGGGATGAAACCCAGCATCTGGTGATTTCTATGCGTTCCAGACTTCAGGTTGTAATTGACTGTAAAGGATTTGCAACCAAGTCTTAAAAAGTGTAAGTTTGATTTATGATTATTATTCTGTCCCATTACTTTTGGTCCCTTAACAAGTTGGAGGCAAATATGCAAACTGGTGTATAGAGCCAAAAATGTTAGAATTGTTTCGATGTCCCAATATTTATGGACCTGACTGTAGTTCAACCAATAAAAGGAGAAAATAAAATACAATCCTATACACACAAACCTATACCCACAGTTGATCCAAAAGAAGGCAAAACAAAACCCAATAAAGCTTGATCTAATTTGCTCCAACAGGGGAAAACGTTCCTTCCTGATCCTCCAAGAGGCAATTGGATATTCCCTGGATCAACTTTACCTCTAAATATTAGTATCCAGTTATATTGTGTACATTTGGGAAAGAATCCAGGTCTTTTTTAAAACAATCTACTGAGCTGGCCAGAACCAGCTCTTGAGGGAGTCTATTCCACATTTGCACAGCTCTAAGGTGTGAATGTGAGTTTTTCAGCATTTTTGCACTAATGTTTAGCAGCGTTTTGCCGCATTTTGTATGTTTACGGTTTTTATCGGGTTTTTCTTGTTTAAAAATGTCCAAAAATGCCGGTTTGCCACGATTTACTGCGTTTTTATATGTTCTTCAGCGTTAGAGCATTTTTACAGCTTAACAACTCCTCTAGAATACCACTAGTTCTGGGGGTTTTTTTCCAGCCTAAGAACGCCCCTGCCAAAAAACATTGATGACAGTCTGTGTGCATGGACACATAGGATAACATGCTGAATTTACTGGCTGTAGAAAAAAACGTCAAAAGCCAAAAACAGCGTCTGTAAAAACGTCCAGTGCGCATGAGGAATTACTGTGAAAAAGCCTTTCTGTTTTTTGGAGAGTAAATCTCTTTTCCTCCAGATGTAAAGAGCGCCCTCTTGTCCTCTATGATGACCTTAAAGTGAATAGCTCTGCACCGAGTTCTCTATATGGACCACCTATGTATTTATACATGCATAGTTTTAGCCCCAAGTTTATAACTTTACATTTATCAGCATTAAACCTCATTTGCCACATATTTGCCCAATTAAACAGTGCATTGAAGTCAGCTTGTAAGTTGGAGATATCCTGTAAGGATGTTATTCCACTGCATAGCCTGGTGTCATCTGCAAAGACTGAAATGGTACTTTTAATCCCAAACTCTATATCATTTAGAAGTAATTAAAAAGTAAGGGTCCCAACACTGAACCTTGGGGTACACCACTAACAACCCTAGACCATTCAGAGTATGAATCGTTAACCACTACTCTCTGAATACCGTCTTTTAGCCAGTTTTCTATCCATTTACAGACTTATTTTTACAAGCCCGTAGACTTTACCTTACACATTAGGCGTTTGTGGGGAACTGTGTCAAATGCTTTTGCAAAATACAAGTATATTACATCCACAGTATTTGAACTGTTTAAATTCATTGTTTTTCTCATTAATCTACACTTAGTAGTCCATAATGACAAACTGAAAACAGAAATTTAGAAATGTTTGCAAATGTATGGAAAAGGAAAAACTGAAATATCGCATAAGTATTCAGACCCTTTGCTGAGAAGTTTCTACACCTTGATTGGAGTCTACCTGTGGTGAATTAAATTGATTGGACATGATTTGGAAAGAAAGACACACGTCTCTCTATTAAAGGCCTCGCAGCTGACAATGCATACTGTATCAGAGCAAAAGCCATGAGTGGGCACAGTGGCCTCCATAATTTTCAAATGGGAGAACCAGGACTCTTTCAAGAGTTGGTCTCCCAGCCAAATGCCTTGGTAAGAGAGGTGACCAAAAAGCTAATGATCACTCCGTCTGAGCTTCAGAGATCCTTTGTGGAAATGGGATAAAGTTCCACAAGCAGATCCATCACTGCAGCCCTCCACCGATCTGGGCTAGAGGAAAGCATCTCCTCAGTGCAAAACAACTGAAAGCCTGCTTGGAGTTTTAAAAAAAAAGCACCTAAAGACTGTGAGGAACAAGATTCTCTGGTCTGATGAAACCAGGATTGAACTGTTTGGCTTCAAATTTAAAGGTTATTTCTGGAGAAAACCAGGCATCACGATCCCAATACCGTCCCAACATTGATGCATGGTGGTGGTAGCATCATGCTGTGGGGTGTTTTTGAGCAGCAGAGACTGGAAGACTGGTAAGGGTTGAGGGAAAGCCAAATGGAGCAAAATACAGGGACATCCTCAATGAAAACCTGTTCTACAGCACTCTGAACCTCAGACTGGGCTGGAGGTTCACCTTCCAACATGACGACAATCCTAAGCACACAGCGAAGAACACCGTCCACCGACGGTTCCCAGCCAACCTGACTGAGCATGGGAGGATTTGCAAAGAAGAGTGGCAGAAAATCCCAGTGTGCAAAGCTTGTCGGGTCTTACCAAAAAGTACTTCAGGCTGTAATTGCTGTCAAAGGTGCTTCAACAAAGTACTGAGTAAAGGGTCTGAATACTTCAGTACATGTTATATTTTAGTTTTTTCTTTTTATAAATTCGCAGAGATTTCTAAAATTCTGTTTTCATTGTTCATTATGGGGTAATGGGTGTAGATTGATAAGAAACAAAATGAAGTTAAGCAACTAGTATCAGGCTGGATATAACAAAACTGAAAAAAGTGAAGGGGGTCTGAATACTTTGTGAATGCACTGCATATCACCATCCAGATTGTCAGCGAAAAATAAATCTGAATTGGTTGTTTGTTGAAGGTTTTTTGGGGACAGAAACTGTTTTGAGTGTTTTCAAAAATAAAAAGACTTGTACTTTGATCTTTGCCTAGTGTTACAGTTTACACCCAAAAATGTTTTCTTGGTGAAACAGTGCACACATATAATGTCAATTACAACAATTAATTAACTTTAATGCAAAACTATGGTCTCCAATCCAGTGGTTTAGGAGCCATTGATTTAGGAGTTCCTCCTCTCCGTTTTCTGTTCCTTCTGTTTCATCTCGACATGTCATGCCCTTAGCACTTACAATATAAACCATTTAATTGGCAGGATATCATATGTATTTCAATTTACTACATATTTAGAAGCTGTACTATTTTAAATATATACTGTACATTTGTTTTGTTATCATTTTGACTGTCAACATTGCATCTTCAAGTTTGGCACACTAACTGTAGGTCTCTAATCCAGATTTATATGGCCTGAAATATGATATAGCTCCACAACTATATATTCATTTAACAAATAATCTTACTCACACAAACACTTGGAGATGTGGCAACATAAGTAGTTAAACTAATTTTTTTACAAAATTTTAAACATTACGTAGAAATATCAGTTTTTTTTGTTGTGATTGTTGAGATAACAATGGCTGTTCTGTGCATATTGTGCTTGACATATCGTACATTGTAAGGTAACAGTATATTCATTGAGAGCAGTTCTCTGTTTCAGTTTCATCAGATTGCTGTGTCAGAACCATTAAGACTCGGTATGGTTTACATTGTCATGCAGAATGTGCTTACATACACATGTTCTAAAACTAAGTGCACTAAGGTCTAAGATTCTGTGTCCATTTACCCAACGTTTCCCAGAAATTATACACTTTTCCAATAATCATATAGTAAGTACCGCTAAAGAGGAAATTAGAAATATATTTTATACCTTGATTAATTATTCAGCTCCACATTTGGAGCTTTGAATAAAACGAATAAATCATTTATCGAAGAAAACAGTGGAGATTTAAATATCTTATCTTGCAAGTGTGGTTCACATTTATGCAACACTTGTGATGCCTGTCCTCAGAGCGGAAGCAAGGTAGGAACTGCGTAAACAAAAACATGAATGAAAAAGTACACTCAAGTATTTGCAAATTCTGAACAAACAGCAATAGCACTTTAATGCAAGCCCTCATTCACCTCTGTACCATTAAAGAAGTAAAAGAAGTATCACTTTCACATTAAAAAAAAGTTTCATTAAACATTTTTTAGAGAATAATGGTGCCTGTCTAGTGCAGAACCTGGTTTTACTTATGTAGAATTTAGGTTCCTGAAGATGACAAACACTGCCTACTGGAGTATACTGGCTTGGATTTATGTTTTTCTTGGGCTCTAGGGAAGGTGGGAAAAGGGTGGATATTAATTGCTTCCTAAGTGTAGCTTTAAAGTAGTATTAAACAAAAAGCAAACATTTATTATATTGCAGCTTACCATTTCTGAGATGCAGTGACTGCATTGATTTTTTTTTTAGGCTTTCTTTCTTCTGTTTTCATTTGGTGATCCAGCCAGTAAGTCTGTTGTTTTTAAAAATAACAAGCTCTCCAGCAGAATTTATCAGATACAGAGATGAGACAAACCATTTAACAGTATCAGGGGCGCTTATAGTGATCAGTTTTTAATTATGTAAAACTTTTATCCCAAAAGGAAAAAAAAAACCTGCTGTAGCTGATTATAAAGTATTCGCTGGAGTTTGGCTTCAATTTGTCGGTGTAGTTTAAATCTACTAGTCGATCTAACACTTTCCTCCCCCAGACTGACAAAGCTGCTTTTCAAAGGTGCCCCCTGTACTCCTTCATCCAGAGTGGGGGAATTCTAATACAGAGGTGTGTTACTGGCCAAATTACCAGGTGAAAACAAAGGGGGAAAAAAGTCTAAAAAAAAAAAAAAAAAAAAATAATGCAGCCACCACATCAAATAGTTGGTAAGCTGCAATATGTTACATATTTGATTTTGGATTTAATACAGCTTGTAAGAGAAAATTGGGCACCTCTCATCCCCCTGCTTCCAGTCCAACAACATAGCTAGGAAGAAGAAGGCTGCTTGTTTTGGCCCCAGACAAATTCCCAAGATGTGCAGTGGCAAGGGAAATACAGTGGGAAAGAGTCAGCCTCCTGGCCCTCTGCATTCCGTATGCTGCCTCTTGTCTCAAGAAAGTGCTTGGAGCCATTACAAGCAGTCATTATGAAGCGGCCATCTCCTTCCTAGCTATTATGTCACACTGGCCATGGTGGATTGTGCTTAGTTCAACTTTATAGCTACATTTAGGATGCACCTAGTGTGAATGGGGCCTAAAAAGAGGAATAATACAATTACTAATAACTTTCTGAGCAAACAACACTTTTAAAGCGGTAGTAAACCACACCTAAAAAATAAAAAAAATCTCCTGCAAGGTAATGTCATAATGTGCTAGTATGCATCGTATACTAGCATATTATGAAGGACTTACCTTAAAACGAAGCCCTCCAGCAGCACACTGTCACCACTGCAGAGGCTTCCATCTTGACCCTGTCTTCTGTCCAGGTTGACTGACTGGCCGATCCATGATGACGTGACTCTCACGCATGTACGTGGGAGTTCTGGGCCACAGCACAGTGCTCTGAAGGACCGACACTGGTATGCTGTTCCTTCAAAGCGCATGCTCTGGCTGTCAAATAGAGTGAATATCTCCTAAATGGTGCACGTTCATTCATTTTACCTATAGGTAAGCTTTATTATAAGCTTACTTGTAGGTAAAATGATACAAAACGAGTTTACTATTACTTTAAAGCTTATCCTTTGTAAAATGTTATTTTGTTGCTGTGAGTCTCATTATTAGAGCTAATTGATTAAATAAATTCTATGACCTATGATTCATGCAGCTTCAAAAACTTCTTACCATGGACCCAACAAAAAGGATAACTTCAGAACAGGCTTTACAAGATCTCTACTTTCAGGAGGATCCTCTGCCTACATCTGAGTATGTTTTATTTATTTGCTCTACCATGCACTTTCACAAGCATATGTATAACATTTCTTTATAGTTCACATGCTGTATATTGTAAAGCTATGACTTCTGCATTGTTATTTTTTCATGAGTTTTTCTGAATCTTGTGAGCTTTGCTGCCTCTTCTTATGTAATTTGGCTTGCAAAATGCAGCACAGTGTCATTGACATTGAGGATGACATTGAAACTCTCTCTCTGTAAAAGCAATCATGTCAGAAATCCTGGTACAACATAAGATAAGAGGGTTCCATTCTAGTGCATATTACTGAAAATAACATTTCTGTCCCAAAAGAAAAAAACTTATATATGTCTATATCTTATATATAAAAAAATATATGTACCCAAAGCTGCTTGGAAATACACGTATGTACAGTAGATCTTTACATAACACTTTTGAAATATGCATTTACCACTTTACAGGTACATACCTCAATAAAAACAGAAAATACAATAGAGATGCATACTGAAAGCACAACCTACCAGCTGGTAGATATAACCATACCTGGGAATTTTATCCTGAGAATGGGGGTGGAGTGGTGGGTGCGGCAAAACTCCATTAGCAGTGAGGGGGGATTAAAACTTTAGCCGATTTACAGATTGCAGGAGTCAGAAGTATGCAATGTACAGAGAGCAGGTGTCAGGGATATGCAACTTACTTAGTGTAGGGATCCAGGGTGGATAACATACATAGTGTAGTAGCCAGTGGCTATTGCACCAACTGCAGGAGTTCATATTGGAGGTTTTTTTTTATCAGCTGTTTATTAAACTGCTTGGTGTTTTATCAGTGTATTTGCAGGGTGCCAGATACCATATCCAAAACGTGAATTTTTAAATGAAGATGAGCCTGAAGAAAAAGCGGAAAAGGTATATTATATATACTATAAGACACTGACACATTTACCACATTTTACACATTTTACATTTTATTTTTAGAATTTAATACTTTTTTTTCCAAAGTCTTAGACAGTTCGCAAGTCTGACAAGATGAGCAACTCTCCCTCCATAGCACACTCATTGAAGCAATGACAAAAACATTCTTCAGAATTGGGTGACTTTGAAGAAAAAGAACTTTGGATTCTTGCTGAAAAGAAAACTTTATCAGACAAAAATCTTGTAAAAGCTACCACATTTCAGTGTAGTTGCACCCACTTCATCAGGGCTTAATAGATTACAGTGCATGTTAAACTCATTCTAATGCATTGGTTGTAAATGTATGATGCATTTTACAACTTCAGTTTAAGAACACTGAGCTTGGCAATCTGACAGTACTATTGTATTGTATTCTAGTCAGCAATGACAGCTTCCATATTTCTGTCCTGACATGTTTCTTGTAAATGTGTCAGATAGCAAGTTAGTAAAAAATGGAAAAATAATTGCAGGCTATCCATGTGGGGTAAAAATCTTCAATGTAACACAGCTGCTCAAAGAATGGCTGCATAGAAATTAAAGCTATTTTTAGGTAGACATTATCTGTTACAACTACTGTAGTTAAAGAGATGGTTTCTTAATCACAGGACACAGTAACTTAGTCTTACTGTCTGGGTTATACCATCACCTACATGTGAATTGGACACCGGCATGCAAAGCTATAAGGACAGTCCAGTATAACCCTTGCCACTGCAGGCATGTCTTTATTTTTTTTTTAGAAGAATGGACATCTTCTCTCTGCTCTGAGAAGAGCAACCATTTCCTTTTATTATTTTTTCTTTCAAAACTCTTCTGTCAAGATTTGTAGCTGCTCAATAGCCACTGTGGCTTCTTTTGCAGCTTTCTGGGTTAGTTGACTCATCAGTTTAGCTTTAGTGGACTGTACCCGGACTCCACTGGAGAAAATATGCAGGGCCAGCCAATAGTATTGCTTCGAGCAGTGGATCCTGTGTGAAACGCTTACCTTGCATGTAGTGCAACATGTTGCCTTAGCTGCAGGATGCTATATGGGTCAAGGGCTGTTTTCCCTTTGTCCCCGAAGACCCATTAGGGGGTATGCCCATGGGGAGAGTGAAGACTGTTTGGGATGGCCCCGTGGGGGCTTCTGTTGCACACCCAGCCCACTATCTGTGAGTACCTAAAGGCTAGTCTATAATCTCCAAAGCCCCCCCAGCTCCATGACACTTCATTTTGTCACACACCCCATATGTACATTGATTTTGGCGCTGCAACACTTTTTAAATGTGCCACATGCGCCTTGAACAGGCTGTGTGGGTGTTGTCCCTTACCCCCCCCCCCCCCCCAGCTAGGACTTTGACATTGGCACATGTTCCCCTCTGCATTTATGGCTCAGTTGGCGATTAATCCTTCCCTTTCCATAGTGGTCTGTGAGGAACCCCTTGTTGGTAATATCTCATTGTGTACTTTTGGCACAGCAACCTATGGTGACCTAGTCATGCTATACAATGGTCTGTGACTAACCCTTTTTGGTAATTTCTCATTATGTACTATTGTACAGTGGCCTATGGTGACCTTCTCATGGATGTCTATTAATACCTCCCACTCTATAGTGGTCCCTGGGTACCCTTTGTTGGTAATGTCTCACTGTCTGTTTGTTCAGTGACCTAGGTTGACCTAGTCATGCACTGCCATTAAACCCTGTTGCTGTTAGTGGTTTGAGAGCATTGTCTCATTGTTTGTCAATATTATTATCAGTATTTTCTCACTGTATACTGCTGTTTGCACAGTGGTCTATGGTACCAGGTCTTGCATGGCCTATAACTCTTCTGCTGTGCAGTTGTTTGTGAGTATCCTTAGTTGATACTGTCTTAGGCAGGCCATAGACGGTCCGTTCGGCCGATAAACAAAAAATCGGTCGGCCCCCCCGTTGCCGATGCTGCCACCAATGTCCACGAAAAACGGTAGTTTTTCACGGATTTTCCAGCATGACCGATAAAACAAAACGAGAAGATCCGTGAATATCGGCCGATTTTTTTTTTATGCGGACGAAAATTCGGCCGATGAACGACCCGCCTATGGCCTGCATAACTCAGGGTCTCTCAGCCTATGTACCTTGGAGGAACCACAAGGCAAAAGTTCCAAGAATAAGTATTCAGAAATTAACATTATGTTAAAACATCTGATATACACTGAACTCGCTCTGCTGCGTATAGGGCTTTGCTTGATCTGTTAAAGGTCAGGGTGAGCATGTATGTTGTAGTCAGTACAGTAATCCACAAGTGTAAAGTCACTGCTCACTGCATAAAGGAGGGTGACAATAACTGGCAGTTCCTTTCTTTAGAAAGAAGGAATGGAGGTTCGTGCAAGAAACCTAACCAGTTTCGCCAGGGACTGATTGTTGGTGCCCCATTTGAACTTGGTATCCACATTCAGGCAGGTGTGAGTTTGCACACAGGGTTATTTAAAGCCATGGCTGATGTGATTATGCACACAGGATTGTTCAAAGCCATGGCTGATGTGGTTATGCAAGCATGGATATAAAGATGTACACATACTGTATATATCTGCTCTTTTTGAACTGTAATTCACTTTGCATCCTATGGATGGAAACATTGTCTGATATTGATATGGTAAGTTTTGTGAACTGTTGAAACCTCATGAGGAATGTATTGGAGTTGAGGTTTGATCCTCCCCCTCTGCGAACAGAGGGGGGGTATTTAAAATCTCCAAATGATGGTCACAGTGCCCAGTGACAAAAAATGTTCTCTTTTTATAGGTGCACTCCTGTACAGATATTATAAAAATGGATACTGCATACTATTAAATGCCATCTATGGTCCCTTTGGAAGGAGCCATGACATGTGTATGTGGAATAGGTTGCCAATTAAAATCACCCCAAGTTCCCTGATGTTATAGTAAAGCCATTGCTTTATGTTGCTTGAATTTAAATGCTCAGCAGAAATTTTGCTCCAGCACCTGTGGCTGGACTCCACGTTAAAAGAATTATCTATAATCTACCACTTGGTATGTGAAACTGCTGTTTTGATTTGGATCATTCTTTTAGGATTGAGCAGTCCAGCAATAGTAGTTGTAAGTGTTTTTTTATGTTGTTAGTTATAGCCTACTAGGTACTCCAGATGTTTTTGTGGGAATTTTGGAGGCCAGTCTTTGATGTAAAGTATTGTGGTCTGTACTCAGGCAATAGCATGCAATGCCAAGCCCCAGCTAACAAAACTGGCAAAATACTAACTCCATCCCTTTTACAAAACGCTGGATCAGCCTCATCTTTAATATGCAGTTCAGTTTTGGTTAGGAAATCCTTAGGAAAGATGTTGAATTAGAAACTTTAGATCAGCAAAATTAATAAGTGGGGTGAAGGACCTCAGCTATGAAGATCAATTACATAGACTACAGTTATTCACTCTGAAGAAGAGGCATCTAAGAGGGGATATCATTACAATGTACAAATATATTAAAGGAGACTTCAGTAACTGTAGTAAACTGTTTACTCTAAGGTCCTTGAAAAGGACATCCGGACACTATTTGAGGTTAGAAGAAAGGAGGTTTAAACTTGGATTGTGGAAAGGGTTTTTTACTGTTACAACAGTAAAAATGTAGAACTCCCTTCTCCAGGAAGTGGCAATAGCTGAGAGTGTCAACAGCTTCAAAAAACTTTTAGATGTTTTCCACAGGAAGCAGAATAGACAGGGCTATGGGAATTGTTAGAAAACAAAACACACTCACACACACAGGTTGAATTGGTTTGACCACCGAGCCACTTGGGGCCACGAATTTAATAAATATACTTTATGATGTTTATTATAACCACTCGATGGGTCCCAAGTGGAAATGGATTTGTTCACGAATTGTGTCAATGTTTTGGGCTCAATATAGTCTCTTGCATATTTGTAAATATATACTCATTACATGGACATAAGAAGGTATTTCTTTTACAAGAGATTTTTTGATGGTTCTTATAAGGAGTGCTTTGAGAATGTTTTATATGCAGTACACTTTATTTCTCTTTTAATCTTTTGCATTGAATAAACTCGATTATTTTCTAAAACAAATTACTTTTCAATAATTTGGATTGTTAATATACTTAAATGTTCAATTATTTTGGTTAAATATCCAGGTTGAGGTACACCCTCAAAGAGATAATTGGTTGGAATCCATAATGGATTTTCTTATATATTTTTCTGTTGGTATAGTATGTCTTGGTGCAAGGGTAGCAGCTCTATGGGCTCTTCAGCTCCTAAACCTATCTCTATTTGGACAGAAACTTGGCTAGTTTCGTTCGCAAGAATAGCAATTGGTCTGCTTCTCCCTCTTATCTAGATTCCATCACTGTTTTTTCCTTCAGCTTTTGCTCAGCTGGGGACATTGATGAAGTCTATCCTATCATTCTGGTGGGTTGGTTTAGGTGCATGGGGACACCATTACTCTGTTGGCATAACCCCTAGTCCTGGAGTTATTTGCACTGGCTGTTTAAGACCAGCCTAAAGTGACCCTAAATGTTCAGTTTTTATTTTTTAAAAATAACAAACATGTCATACTTACCTGCTCTGTGCAATGGTATTGCTCAGAGCAGCCACAATCCTCTTCTTCTGAGGTCCCCCACCAGCACTCCTGGCCCATTGCTCCCTCCACTGTGTCTGAGCCAAGGAGGAGAGAGAGAGAGAGAGAGAGCCTCTGCTCTTGTGCACATTGCTAAATTGAGATTGGGCTCAGGTAAGTAAGGGGTGCTGTGGGGTAGCTGCTTGCTTGCAGGAGTTTTTTTACCTTAATGCATAGAGTGCATTAAGCTAAAAAAAACTTCCGCTCTTAGAATCACTTTTAACTTCAAAGCCCTCTATGTTCGCATTTGGGTTATAGTGTTGTATCCAGAGGCTACAGGTTGCAATTTCCATCTCTGTCTCTAAGGGTTGGGCAGAATTCATGTTGCTTTGACACAGTTTCTCTAACTTGAGATTGTGGTTTTTAACTGCTCCTGTTGGTACTACCTGCATTGAATTTGCAAGGTTGCTTATTACTTCTCACCATTTGGGAGGCCTTTTGACCCCTGTGGCATTGGGGATGTCCCCATTTTCCCCTTTTCTTGAACCTGTCCACAGCACCTCAAATCCTACTAAGCTGCTATCCCCTGTTGCTGTTCTGCTTCAACAGTGAGATTTTGGACAACCTTCTTTTGAGGGAATCGTTGACTTTGGCTCAAGCAGCCAATAATCAGAAGGGTCCTAATCTGTAAAATGTGGTACTCGGGCCTTGTTCAGGTTTCTGGAGGAAAGCCTGTGGGCCTTCCCAGATCATTTAGATCTTCTGCCCTTGTGCTGATTTCTCCTCTTGGTTTTGGCCTCATTCACACAAGTGTACTTATGCATCCACATGCAAGCAGTCTCATTCATGTCTACTGGAATTCAGCAGAGACACAAATGCTTTTGTGCAGCCCTTCATGCAGATTGTTCACTTTTTTTTTTTCCTGTATTTTTCCCAAATGGTCTACAGGATCTCACCCACATTTTCTGTCGGTTCTTCTGGACCACCTATTGAATTTATCAAGGATAATCTTCTGTCTATATTGATTCTAAAGGGTGCCTACCTTGTTGTCGAATTTGCGAGGCAGGTTCTGAGTCTGTGCCCTTTACTAGTAAGGAACCTATTTTTGTCCTTCAGATGAACAAGGTTGTTGGAGACCAGGGACTCTTTTTCTCCTAAAGTGTTTTTTTTTGTTTCACTTTCTTAGGTGGCTTTGAAAGCTCATCTTCTAGGTTTAGGTCCTCTAGGGCAAGGGTTCCTATTTCCCTGTCTGGATGTGGCTGAGCAGTTGGTGCTTCTTGGTCTTTCAGAATCCAGCATCTTATTATGAAAATGCAAGGCTGTCGCCTGAACATTTGTTCATTCTTTTAACCAGGTAATTGTTTAAGTCCCAGCTGATCCTCATGCAGCTCTGGAAGCTCTGTTGAGCCACCTCTGTTACATTTTGGGGTTGTTGGGCCTGTTGGCTTTGCTTGTACCTACCCCTCATTTGTATTGCTTTTGGATGCCCCAGTGGTATAAGACTGTGTCCTGTAATGTACCAATAAGAAAATGTGATTATTTTTTTTTTTTTTAACTTTCCTGTAAAATTTATTTTTTAGAATATACTGCAGGACACATAAGATGCCTACCTGCATGCAGCAGCCTACATTGCCTGCCTACAAGTGCAAGAAAAACCCCCACAAAAATTCATATTTTCAATCTATTCAGCCAATAAGCTGTATTACTTCAACTTTATTCTTTTCCACTAAATTAATATGTAACAGAAAAAGAACATTCTGTTTTTGAACATACTGTTAGTATTAGGGCAAGTTCACACCTGAATCATGCAGGACCACGGTCCACGTTCCTGTACAATTCCTGCACAACTCATTTGAATGAGCTGAACTCACACTGAATCATACTAAAAGTAGCATGCACTACTTTTCCAGAAATCAATGCACCAAATCACATGGTACTGCGATACCATGCAATCTGGTGCAGGCAAATGCACTGCATTTGCAATCTGTGTTTGGCATTAAGTTTAATATTGACACCTACAGCAGATTACACACCCGATTCCTGCACCATGTTCTCATGTGAACGAGCATGGTGTTATTCAATTTGTTTTAAAGCTGTCTGTTCAAGACATTTTTTCATATACTTCTTAGTCCTGTACTTATAAAGTATTATAGTTTCCTTTTAATAAACGTTGTTAACCTTTTCAGAATCAACAGGCACAAAATCAGCACCAGCAACAAACAGCAAATCAACAGCAGACAGCTGCTCAGCAGCAGCAGGTGCAGCAACAGAACAGCAGTCAGACCAATGGTACAACAGGAGGAGGAGGAGCAACAGGGGCAACACTTCAGCATAGCCAGGATGCCAGTCTTAACACAGGACCTCCAAACAAGAAACCACGCATTGGGCCTTCAGCGGCTAACTCTGGTGGACCCTCTCTGATGCCTTCTGACTATCAGGTACAGTTTTATCTTCATAATGTCACAGTAGTCCAATATGTCATTGAGGTTAATCAGTGGTATGTATGTTGCCCTGCCATGTTTAAATAAAAAGGCAGAGCTGGCTCAACAAATAGGAAATCTGCCTGTCAGATACAGTGACACATGGAAATAGTATCTGATCATAATTTGTAGATTAAAGTCCCACTACAAAAGTATAATATATGGCAGCTTACCAATCCTTAGATATGGTGGCTGTCTTAGTTTTATGTTTCAGGTAGGAGTATCCTACCAGTAATACGCTTCCTGTCTTAGAGTGGCGATATTCACTCAGTGCAATGTATTTGCGAAGAAGCAACATTGTAATCATACTCTTTTCTCCTGATTTGGACTACAAACACCTCCCCATTTCCATTACATATGAAGGAGGTGTTTTGTAGTTAACAGAAGATGGCTTTGGAAAGCTAATAAAATTGTATGAAGTATCAGTGTAGTGTACTGAAAGTTTTTTTTAAAATCAGAAATATTATTTATTAATGTTTAAGGCATACATAGTACAGAATGCAGTACCATATATAACACATTACAAAAGAATCAGCCATTAACAAAGAACTAAAAAGTACTAAAAGAAAATTCCCAGTGTTATCAGTTGTCCAATGAACAAATAAGTACAACAAGATTGTGGTATTATTATGCAGTAAAGGCACATGTGGAACCCCACACACACAGAGCAGTAGATGTCCCCTTCCAGCAGTGGTCCAGTGGAAAATAGAGCAGATAGATCTCCCTACATGATAATTGAGGTGAACAACAGGCAGAGCACATCATGAAAGGATAATTACAACAGCCTATGCATTATCAAATCCAATGGGGCTAAACCCGAAGTGGCCAATTTTGCCTCCCAGAGTTTCTCAAATTTACCTGGGCACCCCTGATGTTGGTAAATTAAACAATCGTATCGTAAGATGGTTTCCATATTCAGCCTCCAATCCTGCATAGTAGAGGGAGTTTCTGATTTCCAACGCACAATAGCCTTGCATGCCTGGAACACAGCCTTGGAGAGGGCTTCTAGTATAAATGTATCTTGGGTAACCTTATCTAAAATACCTAAAAGACATTGTTTATGGTCTAGAAGTAGGTTAGTTTGAAACACTAAATTTAGAGTGATCACTTCCTGCCAGTATCGATGAAGTTTTGGGCACCACCATAGCACTTACATCTGCCACAAAGAGAGTCCTGGCGTAGCCCCCTCATACACATTTTAGCTGGTGTATAATGAGCCCTAAGTACAATATACAGTTGTGATATAAGGTGAGAAACCATCAACAAGCTAAGATGGATAGACTGCAGAGCAGCCTCCCACTGGCCTTCCTCAAAAGCCCCCACATCTTGCTCCCACTGCCCACCAGCCCTATTTGGTATTTTTCTAAGTAATCTGACAGAAGCATGGTATAGCAGCAAGAAATAATCCCTTTAATTGTTGTAGCTGAGTGCAAATAATTGATAATGGGGGAGGAGTGCCATAAGGCTGACAGGCCTTGAGCGGCAACTGCATGTTTTAACTGTATGTAATAAAATAACATTGTAGACGTTAAATTATACCTAGACTTCAATGTATCAAATGATATAAGTTGATTACTGTCGAATATATGTTTCAAATGGTTGTCTTTGGCAGGTAGACACCGAAGAGGTCCTAAAGGTCTTCTCATAAGCCCGCCTCACCACCTGCCCCCTGGACCCTGTCCCCTCACAACTCCTTCGGTCACCCTCCTCTTCCATCCTATGCTCCCTCACTCACATCTTCAATCTCTCCCTCTCTACAGGTACATTCCCGTCTCCTCTAAAGCACACGCACATCACTCCCATACTTTAGAAACCCTCCCTAGACCCCACCAACCTGAACAACCTTAGACCCATCACCCTGCTCCCATTTACCTCTAAACTCCTAGAACGCTTAGTCTACAATCGTCTGAGCTCCCACCTCACTGACAACAACCTTCTCGACCCCCTACAGTCTGCCTTTCGCCCCCTACACTCCACCGAAACTGCCCTACTAAAGCTCTCTAATGACCTACTAACTGCAAAAACCAACGGCCACTATTCAATACTCCTACTACTTGACCTCTCCACGGCTTTTAACACAGTTGACCATCCCCTCCTCCTCAAAAAACCACACTCTTTTGACCTCAGCTCTCTCCTCCTGGTTCTCCTATCTATCACAGCGCTCCTTCAGTGTTACCTATAACGCTGCCACCTCCTCCTCACTCTCTCTCTCTAGAGATCCCCCAAGGTTCTGTCTTTGGACCCCTTCTCTTCTCCATCTACACTTCCTTCCTTGGTCACTTGATAAACTCCCACGGCTTCAACTACCATCTCTATGCTGATGACACGCAAATCTATCTGTCTACCCCTCACCTCACCCCTTCAGGTTTCCACCCGTATCACTAGCCTACTAAGCGACATATCGGCCTGGATGGCACTCCACTTCCTCAAACTCAACCTCTCCAAAACTGAGCTCCTAGTATTCCCCCCTGCTCGCGCTACCCCCACTGACTTCACCATAACTATTGCTAACACCATCCTCACTCCATCCCCTCACGCCAGGGTACTAGGGGTAATCCTAGACTCCCATCTGTCCTTCCAGCCCCAGATCCAATCGCTGACAAAATCATGTAGACTTCACCTCCGCAACATCTCCAAGATACGACCGTTCCTAACCCTGGAAACCACTAGGCAACTTATTCACTCCCTTGTCATATCACTATATTGTAACTCCCTTCTCATTGGCCTACCTCATCACAGGCTATCCCCACTTCAGTCTTTCATGAATGCTGTTGCCAGACTCATCCACCTTACTAAACGTTCTGTATCTGCCACCCCTCTCTGCCAATCCCTCCACTGGCTCCCAGTTTCCCAACAGATATAATTCAAAACTCTGACAATGACATATAAAGCCATCCACAACACTGCCCAAACTTACATAACCGATCTTATCTCTAAATATCACCTAAACCGTACACTCCACTCCTCGCAAGACCTCTTACTCTCTAGCTCCCTTATCTCCTCCTCCCATTCTCATCTCCAAGACTTCTCCAGGGCATCACCCATCCTCTGGAACTCCCTACCCCAATCTATCAGATTATCACCTACTCTACTTGCCTTTCGGCGTTCACTGAAAACCTTTCTCTTCAGGGAAGCCTATCCCGCCCTCTGCTAATTCTGGTATCCTCTACTCTTCCAACCACTCCATCCCCCCAGTGACTACCTACTGTGCCACTCACCCCGCCCTCCTAGATTGTAAACTCCAAGGAGCAGGGCCCTCTAATCCCTCTTGTATTGAACTGTATTGTTACTGTATTGTCTCCCACTGTAATGTAAAGCGCTGAGCAAATCGTTGGCGCTATATAAATCCTGTAAAATAATAATTAAAAATGAGTTATCTCGTAGGATTTCCACTTAGAGGCATATTGTAGCTTGGCCAGTTCTGGTAATGCCGCATTATTCCGTATGGGACTATATGCGATGTGACCTGTAACCTGCTGCAGCTGCTTGACCTTGATCCAAATTTTATGTATTAGTCGATAAGTAGGTAAGGACTTATTTGGTTTACAAAAAGATTGAGCCTCAAGACCTTCTGGTAATGAGCTAGAGGCCATACAATGTAACATCACTTGTAGCATAGAATCATTAGCCATGGCACTAGTGGTGCCTCCTTCTGTCATACCTTTACCCAGATGTTGCACCTGGCTAGCCAGATAATACAACCAGGGATTGGGCAAAGCCATTCCCCCCTCTATCCGTACCATGCTATAAGTGTTCTATCCATATCCGTGGTGGGCATTTCCCCAAAGTAAGGTGCGAAAGATAGTATTTATAATTGAGAAGGTTTTCAGCGGAATCATTAATAGCGAATTGTGAAGAAACTACAGCAATTATGGCAAAAATATAATTTTTATAATATTTGCTCTACCTGCCAAAGACAACCAGAACTTAGACCATATCTTCACCTTGTGTTTACAAAGAGTCAACAACGGGGCTAGATTTAAGCGACAGTAGGCTAGTACATCGGAACTAATGAGAATACCCAGGTATTTAAAAGAGGATGTTATTGTCACCTGACAGAAAGTAGACATTGCTGGGTCCGTGACCCCATCAACTGGCAGCAGGGCCGACTTAGACCAGTTAATTATTATCCCAGAATATTTTCCAAATTGAGAGATTTTATACATGGCTGTTTGTAAGGATGAGCCTGTATCACCAAGCAAAAGCAATATGTCGTCTGCATATAACAATATTTTCTCGTGGATGTTACCATATTGAAAACCCACCACCTCCTCACTAGCCCGAATTCGCACCGCCAGAGGTTCAATGGCCAATGCAAACAATAGTGGAGAAAGGGGGCATCCCTGTCGGTTACCCCTAGCTATCTGAAAAGTTAGGGAAGTTGCTTCGCCTTGTCTGATAGCTGCACAGGGAGAATGATATAAAAGCTTTATCCAGGTTATAAAATGCTCGCCGAATCCATATTTCTCTAGAATCCTCCACAAATAGTCCCATTCTATACTATCAAATGCCTTAGTTGCATCAAGCGACAACAGTGCTCTGGAACCCATGTTGTCAGCCGGCGTTTGCATATCGATAAATAATCTACGTAAATTGACAACAGTAGATGTCTGGTACATAAAACCTACCTGATCAGGGTTCACTATTGTGGTGATGATTTTATTTAATCTAAGTGCTAATACTTTGGCTAGGATCTTCATATCCAACTGTAACAAAGAGATAGGTCTATAGGAATTGAGATCAGTGGCCACCTTGTCTGGCTTCAGCAGCAGTACCACTGTGGCCCTGGTCATGGAGGCTGGTAGAGTGCGTCTGTCATAGGCTGCCTGAAGCACCACTAATATTCGTGGCAACACGGAATCAGCATATATCTTATAGACCTCCATCGGGAGACCATCCTC